TCAGCACCTTCAGGTGAATTAGTTGTGGCAGAGGGAGAGAGAGAGAGGGATGGTGTTTTCAGTTTTGTGGAATAACAAAAAGACAGATTGTTCCACAGAAACTAGAATTGTTTGTTCTGAATTTCTATCCTAGACTGAAAGTGATGACTTTTGTAATCTTTTTTTTTTAACAGAAGATTTGAAGACGGGAGTCTCAAAATTAAGAGTCAGGACCTAAACATTTTTTTGGGACGGTGGTTCTGTGAGAAGGAGAAATGTTTGTGCTATTTGCTCCTGCTTCAGCATCAGTGAGACTGGAAAAGTCCAAGTGAGAGTGTTGCAGGGCCCTGAGCGTGGAACGAAACTGAAAACAGCTTGAGAAAGGAATTCACAGCGGCGGGGGGAGAAGAAGAGGGATCGTACACGTGTGTGTGTCCCAGAAGCTTCAAATGGAGAAACCCGAGGAATCCCGCAGCGTGGAGAGACCGTGGAAGTGCGGGGACTGCGGGAAAGGTTTCCGCGTCCCGTCTGCCCTGGAAACTCACCGGCGCAGTCACACCGGGGAGAGGCCGTTCAGCTGCTCCGAGTGTGGGAAAGGGTTCGTACAGGCCTCCCACCTGCTGACCCACCAGCGGGTCCATACCGGGGACTGGCGGTCCACCTGCTCGGTGTGCGGGAAAGGGTTCACCCAGGCCTCGCACCTCTTGGCCCACCAGAGGGTCCACACCGGGGAGAGGCCGTTCACTTGCTCTACCTGCGGGAAGGGCTTCACTCATTCCTCCCACCTAGTGGCTCACCAGCGGGTCCACACCGGGGAGAGGCCGTTCTCCTGCTCCGAGTGCGGGAAAGGCTTCACCCAGGCTTCCCACCTTCAGACCCACCGGCGGGTCCACACCGGGGAGAGGCCTTTCTCCTGCTCGGTGTGCGGCAAGGGCTTCAGCCTCTCGTCCCACTTGCTGATCCACCAGAGGGTGCACACCGGGGAGAGGCCGTTCACCTGCTCGGTGTGCGGCAAGGATTTCGGCGACCCTTCGGCCCTGCGGACCCACCGGCGGGTCCACACCGGGGAGAGGCCGTTCTCATGCTCCGAGTGCGGGAAGGCGTTCAGCCGGTCGTCCGCCCTGCACACCCACAGGAGGGTCCACACCAGGGAGATGCCCTTCGGCTGCCCCGAGTGCGGGAAGAGGTTTACCCAGTCTTCCAACCTGCTGGCCCACCGGCGGGTCCACACCGGGGAGAGGCCGTTCTCCTGCCCCGAGTGCGGGAAGGGATTCAGTGACTCTTCCGCCCTGCTGAGGCACCAGCGGATCCACACCGGGGAGAGGCCGTTCACCTGCCCGGTGTGCGGGAAGGGCTTCACTCGCTCGTACCACCTGCTGGCCCACCAGCGGGGTCACACCGGCGACAGGCTGTTCAGCTGCTCGGTGTGCGGCAAAGGCTTCGTCGACTCGTCCGACCTCCTGAGGCACCGGCGGGTTCACACCGGCGAGAGGCCGTTCGCTTGCACCGAGTGCGGCCGCACGTTCACCCTGTCCTGCAACTTGCTGAGACACCAGCGTGGGCACCGGCGATCCCAAGCCTCCGCTTCAGCCCAGGACTGAACCGCTTTGGTTCGGACTGTGGGAAGGGACAGGAGGGTGGTTTCCTCTTTCCCCCTTTATTCATTCGTGGGTGTCACTGGCCCGGGCCATCCCTTATTGCCCAGAGGGTAGTTGAGAGTCAACCACATTGCTCTGGAGTCCCATGTAGGCCCAGACCAGGTAAGGATGGCACCTTCCTTCCCTAAAGGATATTAGTGAACCAGATGGCTTTTTCCCCACAATTGACACTGGATTCCTGGTCATTTCATTGGACTCTTAAATCCAGATCCTTTATTGAATTCAAATTCCACCATCTGCCTTGGCAGGATTTGAACTTGGGTTCCCCAGAACATTGAAGCATCAGAGGAGCAGGAAGGCTGACGTTTCGGGCCTAGACCCTTTTCTGAAGAAGGATCGAGGCCCGAAACGTCAGCCTTCCTGCCCCTCTGATGCTGCTTGGCCTGCCATGTTCATCCAGTTCTACACCTTGTATATCTCAGATTCTCCAGCATCTGCAGTCCCTACTATCTCTCTCCCCAGAACATTATCTGGGTTAACAGTCCAGTGACAATTCCACCAGGCCGTTGCCTCCCTGTAATTTTTCTCTCTGCTGGACTGGCTGCTCTCACTTCCGGTGGGCTCTTCGAGCCGGGCCTGCACATTCCCACGATCCGCAGAAACAAAGGAAAAAGTATGTTTTTTTAAAAAAATCTCGTTCTCGATCTTAATCGCACTTTCACTGCTGCAATAAGTCAATCTGAAATAAATGCATTTATGCATTTCATGTAAAAGGGATAACAACAGGGATGGGACAGTCAGGGCTTGGTATAAGTAATACTCAGTAATAACCATCCGCAGGGTGGACTGAGGTAAAGAGAGAGCTTTTACATCCGTGTTGGATTTGTTACTTGTTTATGTGCTACTGAGAACTCATCCTGGAGGAGAAAATGTCGAGTTGATGTGATCCAGGCAGGGCTGGAACCGAACTGGAAAATGATAATGTTAAATTGAATAAGAGAGAGAGAGAGAGGGAACTGCTCCCCTTCAAGGTGCGGGCTGTAAGAATCAAGGGGAACCCCTACACTGGGTTTTCTCATTAATTTTCCAACCTATGGGAACACCCAAAGCTTCATTAGTCAAGACAGGAGGTGGATTTTGTCAATATTGATGTTGTGAATTACATCCAGGACTGAACTATATTCATTCTGATAGTGGGTGATGTGGGAGGGACATCAGGCTTTTTTTCTGCTGGAATGGCTGGTCTTCAACCACTTTGTTTTCAGTGGGGCTCATGCTGTTTGAGCCTGGGCCTGCCTATTTACACTGAAATAATCCGTAGAAGCTGATGAAAGAAATTTATTGTAGCCTGGATGGTAAATATCATTTCTACACCTGTCAGAAGTCGATCTAAAATAGATACACCTGTCTCTGTCCCATTGAATCTCCAGCACAGGGCCAAGCCAATCACCTCAGCTGATCTCTGTCGGTATTTATGTTCCACGTGAGCCCCTGCTCACCTTTCTTCATATCCTCGTATCCCTTTCTCTGTCATGTCTGTATTTGGCTTCCCCCTGAAACGTATTGTTGTCGTTATCAAGACCCTCACTGCTGTTCTTTTATTGTTGTTTTATTTTTGAGACTGAGAGTTGAGGTTCAAATCAGAGGAACAGCCGCATGCTTAAAAGAGAAGAAAGACAAACACAGATGTTAGCCATCGGTGACCAGCCTGGAGGATAATGAAACCTATTTGCTAACTTAAGGAATACTGTGGACAAAACAACACTGTATGTTGTCTTGTTCAGGGCTGCAGCTGGTTGGTTGTTGAGTTGGTCGGTCAAGGGAGGACTCGTTCTAAGCAGCCAACCACAAAGAATGTTATTTTTTATTTTAAAGAGACAGAAAACTGCATTTGTCTGTTTTTTTTGGAAGGTGCAAATTTTGGAAGCTTCGGCCACTGGCTGCTTTACTCTCGCTAGTTTTTCTGTCCATTTGAAGAACTGTTGACTTTTTTCCGGAACACGTCCCAGTATATAAGAAATAGCTGAATACATCGGGGCGACCACTGAACCATTCACATTCAGAAGTGACTTTTAAAATTAGACATATGGTTATGTGCCTGTGAACAACTCATCATCCAAGGATTGCACAAAGACTTGGCAAACCATTGTTTAAAACTGTTGGTTTGAATTGGCAAATTGCAATTATTTTCTTTTCTAATTTACCCCTTAAGTCTCTGTCTGTGAGACGGTGGGGGACATGATCAATAGGCTTAACTCATTGCTATTAATTAGTTTATCTTGTTTAACTTTGCCCTATTAAAGTTGCAGTATTTATAATTGTTAATTTTTTGGTGTTTAAATTATAATTTTGGTGTGCAAAATCAGTTCTTCATAAAGTCTTGTTAGGAACAATTAAGGGATATTGCATATTTTAATTTTACTGTGTTGTGAATCCAGTGATAGTGACGCACCTTTTGTATTGGCTTGCAAACAAAAGAACATAAGAACTAGGAGCAGGAGTAGGCCATCTGGCCCCTCGAGCCTGCCCCGCCATTCAATAAGATCATGGCTGATCTCTTTGAGACTCAGCTCCACTTACCCGCCCATTCACCATAACCCTTAATTCCTTTACTGTTCAAAAATTTATCCAGCCTTGCCTTAAAACACATTCAGCGAGGTAGCTTCAACCGCTTCACTGGGCAGGGAATTCCACAGATTCACAACCCTTTGGGTGAAGAAGTTCCTCCTGACCCTTGGTTGTTATGCCTTTCACTCCAATCACTCACTATGGTCGTGAGTTCCACACACTCACCACTCTCTGAGGTTTCTCATGAAATCCTCATTTATAGGCTTGGCAGGGAAAATGTTGACATGGGCAGAATATGTGGTGCTAACTATAGAAAAGCCAGGAAGATGTTAGACAAAGAAAACCTTTGATAATAGGGACAAAGAAAAATCTTCGATAACAATGAGATCTAACAATAACAATCAAGATAACGGTCAAGGACAAAAAATGTTCTCTATAGATGTTGGATATTGTAATTAGACAAGTGTCTAGATACTGCAGTTAGTTGAATTCAATAAGGTGAGACAAATGAAATAACCAGAACCACTGATTGTAATTGGATGTCAGTAACCATGAAACAAGTGTATACTATTCATTGGTATATGTAAACTGCTCTTAAGATAACACAACAGTAGATAAAACTGATGTATTTTATTGTTTCGTGAGTTTGTTGATATTTTGAGGAAGTGGCTCCGAAGCTTGGATAAAGCCCAGTGTAAAAACTGTCATCTGGTCAGGTATGGGCTCCAGGGAGTTCTAGAATCCCTACACTGTGGGAGTGGGCCATCTAGCCCACACTGACCATCCAAAGAGCATCCCACCCCGCATTTCCCATGGCTAACCCACGTAGCCTGCACATCCCTGGACACTATGGGCAATTTAGCATGGCCAATCCAGCTGCACTGCACATCTTGGGACTGTGGGAGGAAACCAGAGCAAACACATGCAGACACAGGGAGAATGTGCAAACTCCATGCTGTTACGTGAGGATGGGATCGAACCCAGGTCCCTGGTGCCGTGAGGCTGCAGCGCTAGCCACTGTGCCCCCAGTTGGATGGCTGAAAGATCCGATAAAACAAATGTACAAATTGGGTACAAGCTATTCTGTCTGGTCTGCCATTCGGTAAGAGCTTTGCTCAACTGATTGTGGCCTCCACTCCACTTCTGAAAATGTTTGCCCACCTTACTACTCAATAGATTTTCTGTATCTGCCTTAAAATTATTCAATGACCACACCTCCACTGCTAGAATCCCTACCGTGCAAAAAAAGAGGCTTGTGTTGACCCTCTGAAGAGGATCCAGCCCTCCTGTAGCCCCACGTTTCCCATAGCCAACCCCCTCTTAGCCTGCACATCCCTGGACACTATGGACATTTTGGCACAGCCAATCCACCTAACCTGCACATCTTTGGACTGTGGGAGGAAACTGGAGCACCGGGCAGAAATCCATGCAGACTCAGAACATGTAAACTCCACGCCTGCAGGTGGAATCAGACTGGGTCCCTGGTGCTGTGAGGCTGCTATGCTAACCACTGTGCCAACCCATGCTGCTCTCTGAAGAAATGAATTCCAAAGACTCAGGAACCTCTGAGAGGAAAAACAAAACTCTCCTTTCTTAAATGGGAGGCCACTTATTTCTAGTTCCTGCCACAGCAGGGTGAATGTATGACTCCCTTTAAGTGCTCTCAAGATGTTACACACCTCAATCAGATCATCTTTTATTCTTCCAAGCTCCAACTGATATAGGCCTACAATGACATTCCCCCTGTCCCCGATATAAGTTGAGTGAACCTGCTCTGAACTGCTTCAGATCCTTTCTCAAATAAAAAGACCAAATTTGGACTCCACCTGTGGTCTCACCAATACCATTGACAAATGGAGCAAAACGTCGCTACTTTATATTCAACCTCTTTGCTGTAAATGACAATATTCCATTTCCTGCCTTACTCAGTTGCTGCTTTATACTGACTTTATTGTGTACTAGGATACCTGAATCTTTCTGTACCTCTGGGATTTTCAGTCTCGCTCCATACTGCTTTTCTATTGTTTCTGCTAAGATGATCAGGTTTCCAAGTTTTCCTTCATTAATCTCCTACCTAGTCTTTACTCATTCGCTTAACCTATCAATAACACTTTACAGACTCCTTATGACCTCTTTACTTATTATGTTAGTGCCATCACCAAATTTAACCCCCTTGCGGCAACAATAAGAAGACAAAAATAAAAGATAAACTATCAGGAAAAGTAATCAAAAAGCAGATGTTGCAAGTAGACAATTTTATACATTTTTTTTAAAAAGGCATAGTGCTACAAAGTATAGATGGAAACAAAGATCTCAGCATGGATTGATATGCCACTCACACTCTGTCTAGAGTTTGTGATTTAACTAAAGCTTAAATCTTTAGTTTTTGGATCA